ATAGCTCTTATGTAAAGTGACACACAATTGTATAATTGTACTTAGTTATTATTGTAGAAAAGCTGGAATACTGTCTCATGTAAAACATTTTCACATATTATCTCATTTGAACCTTGTAAGCAGTTCTGAAATAGAAAGGAAATAATGTATTTTCATTTTAGAGAGAAAGGACTCACTTTACGTATGGTGGAAGAAGGAGAAATACAGCATTTATGAATGCATAGTATGTGCCAGGTACTACGTTCTCTTGTTCCTAACAGTCTGGAGGTAGACAGTAGAATACTAATGAAGAAATAAGTAAAACTACAATAATGGGAAAATTACCTGTTCCCTCTAGTTCTAAAAATATAAGAGCATGGATTTGGGTAAACTGAATGTACATTAGCATTTGACATTGGCACAAAAATTATAAAATGAGCCCCACTCTTCTTAGTTGATCTGTATGACTCTAAAATCATTATTTGTAACTATGCTTAATATTTTGAATCTCACAGCTAAGTTTAGCCTCATTGTGAATATTTTATTTTCTGAGTATAATTTATTGTTTTAAATTAATTTTGATAGATACAGTTAGCACTTAATCTGTAAATTGAATAAGTTATTGAGTAATAAGTACAGAAATTTATTAACTTACTGTCTCTGACTTAATGCACCAAAGATTTTGAGTAGGTATTGAATAGTTAAAAAGAATTTAAATTCTTTGTTGTTTGACTATATATTTGTCCAAAGAAGCACAGCTGAAGTCTTGGATAATGGATTTAAAAAAAAATGTTAGTTTGAATACTGAAATTAAGTATGAAATGTTTGTGTTTATATGTATAAAATAAGTAGAGGGAATACTCTGGGAACAGTCATCCCGACCAAGCAGTTACAAGGTAGAATACTCATTTCTCTCAGTTTAGCCGGATGCAGTTTTTTAATGAACACTATTGAATAATAAGCTTATATTTTACACTACATTATAAAAATAATTTCTGCCTTAGATTTTTTTTTTTTTTTTTTTTTGTATCAAGTCGAGGTTATTTTTGTAAGAAATCCCTTTGGTTTGGGCAGCCTAAAATACCACTTAATCATAGGGTTTGTTCCTCATGCCAGCAAGATACCTTCAGGCAACTACAAAAGTAGTAAAGTTTTGCAGACTTTTAATTTAGAACTTTACTGCTGGGGAAAAGAGGAATAAAAATAACCATTTTAAACTGGTGCTTTAATAAACTGACTGCCTTTTAAGTGATGGTAGCATGAAAGAAGTACACTAATTTCTCTCGACCTTAAAACGTGTGAAAAACACCTTTATCAAGTGGCTATTACGTGTTAAGGGCTAATCAATACCATCCATTGCTTTTCACTCAATCACAAGCTAATTAAACACAATTAACCTGGTATATTTATGAGCTTGAATGTTCTTCCTGCCATATCACACTAATTTATTATTGACAGGAGAGGTTTTGAGCATTAGTTCTTTAAGAGTGTCTTTTTAGACCATCTTTTTCTGGATTGAATACTTTGTACTTTTTCAGAGATGTGTAGTTGTGTAGCATTGTCTTTGCTGCCTACTGGTAAATAAATGACTTGTTTGTTTTGTTTTATTTTTTGGTTTTGAGTCATATTTCTGTTGCCTGCTGGCTGGGCAATAGCCTCTTACGTTTCATGTTAACTTAGGAAAACTGTCATTAAGTGAGAGTATGAACATTAGTCCTTATAATTTACATGCCATTTTTTTTTTAAAGTTTTTACTGTAGCCTCTGTACCTACTGGAGTGACTCCTCAGCCTGTCCAGATGTTTAGAGGAATCTGACAGAAAGAATAGTGTGTCTGCTTCTCTTGTGGTTCTTTGTCTCTGATTGCTCTCTTAAATCACTCCTTAACCATGAGCACAGCTCTACACTGAAGATTTAGTCACTTTCCTTGAACTGAGCATGATTGATGGTGTGAGAAGAGCTGCTCTTAGTGAGCAGCAGCATCCCAGTCAACATTGAGCTTGAGTTGATGACTCATGAAAAAGCACGACTTCTCAACAGTAATGTTTGAACATTTTAAGATTTAGTGCCAAATTTAAAAGGACTGAAAATGCATCATTTAATAAGGAATAAGTAATGTTTCTTAATTTTTAAGCAGAATTAGTGTTAAATGTTACCTGCTATTAGTGTGACTAATGGATGAGAATAATTTCCTACACGGCATATAGCAACTAGACAATTCTACTGTTCTTCTGCTATGCTATCCTACTCATTTCTTTTGCACATTTTCCTTTTAGTAATCTTGTGTTCTTTTTTGGTGTCCTTCCATGTACCTTGTAAAATTTTTACTTAATATACTTTCCCTTACAGTATCAGCATGTGTTTTGTGCTTCCTCTTTGGAAGTAGATCACTATTACAAAAGCAATAGAATTAGGTTGCGTGGAAGATGAGAGGAGGAATGATTTAGGAGGGAGGGTATGTTTATGTTTTACTTAATTCATGTTTTAACTTGCTGTATATTGATCTTAAGTCTGTGACCTTTGAAAGATTCCCTAAACCAGTTAGTAGTCTCTGCAGCCATTTAGTGAGAATTTAAGGACATTATTTGGAGAACAGATGTTAAAGAAGAAAACCTTTATGAAAACCATTTGGATTCTCCTGTAGAGCTGAGTAATGTCAATATTTACATCATTGCTGGAGATTCTGAAAGGTCCTTAAAGAAGAGCGTGTGTGCGTCTCACTGTCACTGTGCCTCTCTTTGATATTCCTGCTTGCAGAAGGTTGAACAATGTACTGTGCTATAATGACCTTTTAACAATCAACTATCCTTGTAAGTGACACTATATGACAGTTGATGAGTTTGATTGCCAAAACATTCTACAAGCTGGTGTTTAGCTGCTCCATGTTGTGTCAAAACTGTTCTATTTACAGGAGAAATGGTGTGTACTAATTTAGAAATGTTGTTTTCTGTCTCAAATCACAACTTTGTTTTTAATTAAGGACAGTTTTAAAGACAATTGCAAAGGAAAAATCTAAATCTCAAAATTCATTATTTTCCGTTGTATGTAAAATGTCTTTAGTAGATACTTTGTCTCGTGTTTCATAAGTATAAATGTCTTTATAGCAGAAATTCAGCTCTTTGTGAGGAGTAGGTGTCGTCTTGCATATTGAATTAGTTCTTTGTGTTATTTTGATATTTAAAATAAACAGAGTTCTTTGGTCCTAGTAAAGCATATCCAGGTTTTTTTGAAATTACATTTTCGGAGTATAGGAACACAGTGTTCTGCATGCATCTATAAAATGTTTTATAAAATGATCAAATGGAAAGCCAAGTGTCTTGGGGATATTTTTGAAACATAATTCTAATAAGTTACATATTATTTAAAATATATAAAAGTACACATTAAACACAAATTAATGAACCTCAATTTTTAAGTGTTTCATATATAAATCCAAGTATTGGAGGTGACTGAAGCAGTCACTGCTTTTGAATAATTCTAAAGTGTAGCAAAATTCTATTAGTGAAATAGGATATCCTATATAATACTTAAAATGGGCACTCAAGTTTCTCTTGCTCATTCCTGCAGCTATTCATTCTGGTTTTATTTTTTGGGAGGGGGAGAAATTTTGCTGTAACGTGTTAATGATTACAGGATACTACCCCAACCTAACAGACTATTTTTGTTACAGCCCTCAACATACAATCACTGTTTGATTATTTTAGAGCAGGACACTGTCTACACAAAACAACCCAACAACACACTACCAGTTTTCTTTACATCTCTATTCAGCCCAGGAAACTTTATAAAGCTGATTAATTCTGGATAGGCATATTAGACAAATAGGAATGGTTAACATAAATTCTCTTGGCTTATTTAACTGTTGTGTCTGGTTACATATGACAATCAGGAGCTTCAAACTTTCTGACCTAGTGGCACAATCCTGGTTAACCACACAAATTACCAAAAAACTAAAACAAACAAACAAACAAAAAAAAAACCAGAAAAAACATTAACTGCACTGTGATGTTTGTTGACACAAAATCAAAGCTCTCACCCCAAAAGGGTCTCCCTCATCTGGTCCCATTTTATGAGAATGTATATTCAGAAGTCAAATATGAATAATCATGGCCAAGGCACACAGATTTAGGTTATCCCAAATTCCATGTTCCAACGTGCTAAACAACTTAATAACTTTTTTATTTTTTATTTATTTATTTTTTTTTTTTTTGCAGTACTCAAAGGTACTTTCCAAAGACCTAGGTGCAAACATTAAATAGGTGTGTTGAGGCGAAGGGAAACCTTAGCCTCAGCTTCTGGCGGTACTCACATTTTTAGTTGGTTGGAAACGAGTGCTCTGTTTGTACATTACAGTAATTTACGCAGTGGTCACAATCCTGTTAGGGCACTTTGAAAGGATCTAACCTAGCTAAAGGACGTAGCTATTAAGGGGGCTAACGATGTTCCCCAATAATTGTTTTAGTAGACTTGACCGCTAACATTCTAACCACTCCACATCACTGACACTCTAATCAGCTATTCAGTCTTGCCTGGTAGCAGTTAAAGGTGCCTTTCTTCCCGGGAACTTTTGTTCCCAAGGTGTATGCAGCCGTGGGTTGCACACAGCAATGATGCCCTTTCCTTCATCGTAACATGTTTAAAACATGGAGTGCAATTTCAGTTCTAAGCCTCGGGCTTGTTGGGCCGTGGAACATTGCTGCCTTTTTACTTCCTCCCCAGGTATCAAGCTCAGCCCTGCCAGCATTTAAACAAGGCGCCGCCGCCTCATTGGTCAGGAGCTCTCGCTCACCCATTGGCCTTGCAGTGACGTGGCAGCCGCTTTCTACTCACCCATTGGCGCTCTGGCGAGGTGGTTCCGGGAGCTGCCAATTGGTGGAGGCGAGATATTTGAACCCAGCAAAAGCGGCAAGCCACTCAGAGTTTGTGAGCCGCTGCCACCCGACTGCTGTCGGGACCCTTGGCGTCTGGGAAGGCGGCGGGACCGGGCGGAGGGCAGCCGCCGGCCCGGTGCGGGCGTCCGCCATGGCGACGCGGCAGGCCGCTTCCAGCCCGGAGGAGGGCGGGCGGCGCCCGCGGGGGCATCCTGCGGCCGGGGCCGCGTCCCCGCCGGTGCTTCTGCTCCGCCACTTCTGCACGGTTCCCTTCCTCTGCTTCGGGGACGTCCGCGTGGGCGCGTCGCGGACGCGGTCTCTGGTGCTGCACAACCCGCACGGAGAGCCTCTGCAGGTGGAGCCGTCGCTGGTGCGCGCCGCCGCCCAGGGCTTCAGCGTCTCACCCAACCGCTGCGAGCTGAAGGTGGGTGCGGGGGGCGTGGCCCGTGGCTGGACCCCTTAGCGTGCTGCGGGGAACGTGGAAAACACCGGGTCGACCCCCAGGCTTGACCATGGGGCTTCTGCCCAGACGGGCCTGCGAGATGGTGGGACCCGACACCCAGGCAGCTCCCCGTTCTGATCCCGGGACGCCCCTTTGCACTGTGGAGCTGGGACTGAACCGGACCCCGGCACGCAGTGAGCTTTGGGCGTGGGAGCTGGCTGAAGGCGGCGAGGGGAGGAGGAAGGTGGGAGAGGGATTCCTCTGCAAAGGTGAGGCTGGGAGGGAGCGAGACCAGACACCGGGTCAACTCCGTGTTGATGGTTTTGGCGCTGTATGGTTTGTGTGAGTATATGGCGAAAGTGAACAATAACTTGATGGGATGATGGATCAAAGCGTGCGCACCTGCTGCCCGTAGAAGCGTTTCAGAATGTTTCTGTGAAGAAGACAGGCGTTTGTAATACACTTGTGGTCGGGGAGGCTCTAAGGATGGTACTCATTCTGTGTTTTGAGACTGGGAGAAGTACATTGATGAACGTTTTCCAGTTGCTTCCTCTTGGCCTTTTTAATGTGCATTTTAAATTTCCTCTGTTTGTCTAGACTCTGGACTGCATTTCTGTTTCGATAATGAACTGTTTGGCTTAGATAACCGCAGCAGAAACCCAAAAGCATCCTCAGGATAGTACTCAGTATGCATATATGATGTGCAGGCACACCTTTGTGTTTTACTTTTTTCTTTGCTGTTGCTGTTGTTTTAAAATGTTTAGTTCTGCTTTCATTCCTGTGTCCTTTTCACTGGGCTGTGGAAACAATTAGCTGAGGGGTGCTGCACAAATTGCCTCCTAACTAGTAAGGGGCTTCTTGGGGGGAGTTAATCTGAGGTTGGCTGGCCTTGTCATCCGGAGTCCCCACACTTCAGAAACCTTTGCCTCTCTTTGATGGACAACTGCCTGGATTTCTGTCCATAGAAACTTAGGTAGGACTTAGCTTTTTAAAGATAAGTTCTGGCTTATACAGGAAAAATATTGTTATTATTTTTAATCAGCTGTTTTAAAATCTGATTTTTACTTTTCAAGAAAAGTTTATCTTTCTCACTTAAGCAAGTGTTTTAAACTTGTCAAAGCACACACTTTACCACTAAGCTAGGTTCTCGGCCCCCACCAGTACATTTTGAAAGTCACTCAGTTAAAACAACGTGTAGATTATCAGTTCTTTTGCTTTTCTGGAATTAGTTTTCATTATCATTTGTAGTTTTAATTATATTTATAATTTTATTTTGTTGTGGAATTTTACTGATAGTGGCTTTTTTTTTCTTACAATGAACTACTATTGGAACATAGGGTAGGAAAATGATATTTAACCTTATTAGGGAGTGGTAAGTAACAGTTATCAATCTGTTTGAAGTAGTGCATTAAATTATTATATAATTATATCATCATAGTAATTTAAAATGTATTCTTCTGATTTCAGCCTAAAGAAAAAATTACTGTTTCTGTTACCTGGACACCACTGAAAGAAGGGCGAGTGAGGGAGGTTGTGACATTTCTTGTAAATGATTTTCTGAAGCACCAGGCTATATTACTAGGAAATGCAGAAGAGCATAGAAAGAAAAAGGTAATTTGTTTTAATCATTCTGTGACTTACTGGAAGGAAATGTTTGTTATGTAAAAATGACATTGATGAGAGGCATCATCAGACATGTATCACATTGCTTATTTAAAAGGAATAGAGAATGGCTTGCAACTTCTTTAGTGTATTTTATTTCTTTTTACAGAGAAGTCTTTGGAATACCAATAAGAAGATTCTGGCCTCTTCAAGACATACTAAAAGGACTTCCAAAAACCAAAATTTTAATGAATCATTTATTATTTCACAAAAAGTTGACCGAATTAGGAGCCCACTGCAGGCTTGTGAAAATCTGACTATGAGTGAATGCTGTTCTCCAACAGAAAACAATTCTTTATCCCTTGAAGAAAACAAAATACCCACTTCTTCTATTAGCCCTATTAAAGAATGCCAGAGTGACACTTGCTTGCCACAGTTTTTCTCCAGGTCTACTGCCTATTCATCTCTTCATGCATCTGAAAATGCACAACATTTAAAAGTACAAGATGCCAGTGTTTCAAAAGATTTTAATTTTAGTGAGGAAGTCACAAATGAGACTTTTTTAAATCCTGTTGGTGATCAAAGTGAAGGGGAGAGTAAATTTACTCTTGCCCCAAGCTGTTCTTCACCTTTGAATGTTACACAGAGCCAAATAAATTTTCTAAGTCCAGATTCTTTTGTAAAAAACAGTTGTGCATCTGATAACGGCCTAGGATTAAAAAGAAATGTCTCGTCAGATACATTTAGAACCGATCACTCAGACTCTCTGTGTTTGGAATCCCAAACTGTACATAAAGTTTATCAAACAATCTTAAGCCCAGATTCTTTTTTAAATGATAATTATGGACTTAAAAAAGGTCTAAAATCAGAATCAGTCAATCCCATTTCACCTCCAACACAATTTGTAAAGGATAACATGGTACGTATAGGTCAGCAAACATGTAAGTTAGCAGCAGTATCAAGTAAATCTCATCAGGATTGGAGAATAAATGAAGGATTGGCATATAACTCAGCGTGTCAACATTCAGAAACTCCCAAAGTCAGTTTTGAAAAACAAAGCCCTATAGAAATGAAGTCACATTACCATGGTTTTACAAAACAAAATTCTAATATTTCTGAGTTTCAAGATGCTTCTCTGTGTAACCAGAGTGAACAACCGAAGAGACGCCCAATTCTTTCAGCCACTGTAACCAAGAGGAAGCCCACTAATGCCAGAAAAAACCTACCTGAGATTGACAAACCAAACACAAAAAAATGCCTTAAGGATATAGTAGGTGAATGTGGAAAAGAAATGGGTGACTCAGAAGAGAAAGGCTTTCATTCTTATCTTCCAGTTGTGAAGCCAGTAATGAGTAAACGTCAGAGTTCTAAAAATGAGGTAACACCCTCAACCATCCTTTCCTCTGCTCCTAAAAGAAAGAGCAGTGGAATCATGGAAGACACAAGTGGAAAGCTGGCTGTTACAGAACATACAGAGGTGTGTGAAATTAAACGAATCCATTTTTCTCCTCTCAAATCTACACTATCAACTGTTGCAAGAACCAAAAGGAAAGAAGCACTTGCCTCAAGGCATATTAACAGCTCAGAGAAGTCAAGCCTGAGGAAGAAAACTGGTAAGTTGTCTATAACATCTTCAGTGAAAGTGGAGTTGAGGAATATATCCTCTCTTGCTTTGGTGAGTTTCCTGAATTAGGAAATCTGTTCATGATGGGCCTGTATTCATTGGTACTTTTAGCAGTTTGTTGATAGAAAAACAAGACATTGTGGTGCTCAGAAATAATTATAATCCTGCCTCAGTTTAAATTTGATATTTTGTACATGAATTTTTGCCTTGAATTTGAACCTCAAAAATATTGCATCCAAATGGCCTTGGGCCTCCTGGTGGGATCTTGTTTTGTCTGCTTTTCAGTTTCCAAAGTATTTTTTCTCTTTTCTTCTTCAACAAACAAATGGAAAACAACAACAAACAGCTGGAAACTCATTTTTCAGACTGTTCATTCCTATCTCTCCTTGGTGCAGTGAATAATTATTCTGAAAATGAACTTGTCTCATGTTAACTTTTTCCAATGACTAATCTGAAAAATTCAAAATTCTTGTAGAAGAATCTTGTAGTAACCTGGCTTTTTAGTTCCAGCATCTGTGGGTTCTGTTCTCCTAAAAGCTTCTCAGGTACAGGTTGACATCATCTCTGATTCCAGCATTTTTTTTTAACCAAACTCCACCATTTTTACACTTTTCTAACACTCACAATTCACCATTGTTTTCATCTTCCCACCTGAAATTTCTATCCTTTACTTAGCTTGAATTTCTTAATTCTCAGAATCACTTTATTTACCTGCCTTCCTACCCTGTCCTTCCCAGATAGATTCTAACAAACACCTCACCTTTGTCTAAGCTAATCTCACTTGTCTACTCTATGCCTGAACATTACCTGTGGGTCTTCATGACTTCTTACTGCTATTAAGTCCCTATTCATTTTTCAGCCTGAATTTTTCTGGCTGGAAATATTGATATTCCATGTTGTTATAAGTTACGTTGTCCCTGTCTTTCCTTCCGAGGCCCTCTTTCCTCCCACCATGTCAGATTACAGTAGCTACTATTTACTAAGCAGTTGTGTGTCAGAGTCAATTGTATGTGCTTTACTATGGCCTCCCTTCGTAGTGATAATGTTCTCATGAAGTTGATGTTGGCTTTACCTGTAGTTCAGTTTTACAGATGAGAAGGTAGGTACATTGAAAAGTTGGGTGGTTTTCCCAGAGTTCACAGTTAGCAGTGGAGTTGTGGTCCTACCGTATTGCAGTGTTGTGAACCTCATTTTCATTAAGGAAACAGAAGTACAGGTGATCCCCTCGTTAGGCTAGTTATTAGTTACTTTTCTGTTTGTGAGAAAATACCATGAGAAATGCAGCTTAGAAGCAAGAGTTTATCTAGGCTTAGAATTTAAGAGAGACAGTTCATAATGGCCTGGAAGATATGGTAGCACTCAGCTGGTAGAGGGAGCAGAGAGATTACTTACTTAACGGCAAATATAAAGCAAAGAGAAGGTGTGAACTGAAAGTGGGGCAAGGGCATAAACCTATGGCCCGCCCCCGTAATGTGCTTTCTCGGCTGAGTCTACACCTTCTAAAGATTCTAGGACCTCCCCAAACAATACCAACTGGGGATCAAGTGTTAAAATACATGCGCCTATGCAGAATAGTTTTTATTCAAACCACCAGATGGCACGTGTCCCCAGAAACCTATGATCATTGACTTAACATGCCTGTACAGTACTCAAAATTGATGGAGGTTCATCCAGTAGATAGGGGAGGAACTAGAAATTGCCAGTACATGCACCTTTCAGAACATATACCCTTTAATCCAAGGATAGCCCATAGGCAGAAAAATATACAAAGACGTACATAACTCAGAATATCAATTCTTCTACAGAAAAAAACTACAAGTACGTAACTCAGAGAATATTGATTCTTTTAGGTTTTGCCTAAGAAAAGCAGGAGACTGAAGCACAGCCTGCAGGGGTATGGTCGATGGTATCCAAATTGTAAATATAGTTGCTGCTTCTGAAATCACCTTGAATCATCTGTTTGCAAACTATTTAAAATTTTGAACCTCTCTCTTCCTGGAATATTTTTTGTTACTGTCACTAGTCTTCTTGCCTTCCTACAATCCTGGCTGTTGTCCCCTTGTAGGTGTTCTGGAAGCTTCTGATAAGAATACTTTTCATTTTCCTTTTATACCCTTATCACATGGCATAGTTCTGAATGCCAGCCGTGCGTATTCCTCCTCCTGTGCATGGTTGTCAGCATGGGCTCCTAATATGTAATCCTGTAGTCAATATGTCGTTTCAAGTTGACTCCAGCAGTGTCTTTCACTTGCTTTATAAAAAGCCAAATCCTTCTTACTTATTAAGACCTCGGTGAATAAGGCTGCGAAATTTGTCATTGTTTGGGACAAACACCTTGGAATTGTCCTTAACTATGGTTCTCTCCCATCCTTTCTATGTAAATTCCAAAACAGCTCTGATTCTAAATGTTTATATTTGAAAATGTTCCTAGAAGCAAATTCATTAGGCAGCAGAATTAACAGAAGTTGAGCTTTTAAAACTCGAAGTGAGAACGTGAATTGCCAAGAAACCAACAAATCTTAGTAAGATACATAGAGTAAGAAGACTAAACTATCTTAACTACTCCTGCAGAATCAAAGGCTGTCAGGCTAGGTAAATGGAGAACACACAGTGGCCACCCTTAAATGATGCCATGAGGAACAGCAGGAAATCACTTTGCTATCCTTTGTGAGGAGTTGTACCATTAATGACTATTCACGTTGGCACAGCAAAACTTGGAGGCTACTATGCAGTTCTAGCACATTTTCAAATATAAATAAATTGCACGTGCCTGTTAGTGATGTCACACTGCTTCACTGTTCATAGAGATACGCTCTAAACAAATATGTTCTTTGATTTTTTTTTTTTTAAGGAAATATCCAATTTGACCTACAAATTCATGAATAAATACACAAATGACGGTGAAATTTGGTTGCTCAAACCTGTTTATTTGAAGCAGTACCCACTAAGGCCTCTCTGCTAGATTTAGAGAGAGTTACAAATGTTTTGATTTTACAAGCTTGTGCAACTTTGACTACAAAATTGCTCTAAGCTCCAGTATACTAATTATATAAATCATGGATAATAATACTCTGATTTATTGTCATAATCTATCATGATAATTGTGTAAGACTTTGAATTTAATATTTCATGGTTCTGAACACAATATATTTAAATATTAGTCGCTGCTGTTATTAGTATTGTAGAACTCTCCCTTTTTGCAGTTCCTCACATGTAATCTTAGTTTCATCCTTACTGCTTCTTCATTGGTGGGCCATATTCCTTAAACGAATCTTGTTGAGTTCCTCTTCAGAAGGACTTTCTGAAGCCCTTTGGTCCTGATAAACGCTGACAACTGCCTAAGGACTGGAATCATGTGGTTCAGGGCTACAATTCCTTGTATGCAGTGTGGTCGGGAATTATGCACGCACTACACTGAGCTTCCATCAGGATGGCAGCTTCTGTAGCTCATTAAGTGTTTGCAGGCTGTACTTGCAGATGCTGTTCTTTAAGTAAACGAGGATGAGTGTTTTGTCCTCCGTATGTGTCTGGATGATGTGCGTGCCTAGTGCCTATAGAAGCCAGAGAGGACAGTGGATCCCTGGGAGCTGGAGTTACAGTGGTAGAGAGCCACCTTGTGGGATCTGAGAATTGAACCTGGGTCCTCTGGAAGAGCAGCAAGGGCTCTAGCCACAGCCTCATCAACCAGCTGTTGGCTGGTTGATTTCTGAAGTTCATGCATTAGCACCTAGAACATAGTCATTATTAGTTATCTCTTAAATGAATATGATTATGAAGAATTCAAATTTAATTTTCAAATATGTTAACTATTTGGAGAATTAATTTTATTTTTTAATTTTGTATTTTCTATGTTATTTTAGATTCATTAGTTTTAAAAACGCCTCTTTCTAAAACAAAGAAAAGGACACGACCCGTTGTTGGAATAGCACAGTCTCATCTGACCTTTATAAAACCATTAAAAGCAGGCAAGTGCTCATTGTATTTATCAAGCAATGGGATAACGGGAATAATGCATTTAGCCTTTGCTTTGACCATATATCACACTTCACAAGGTTACAGCTCTCGCCAGCAAGTAGTGAAAGCAAATATTGTTCGGTGTTTTAAAAATGATTTTGCTAAAGTACAAAAGTCCTCTTGGTCTCTTTTGAATAATTATTTAAAGGAAAATTTCTGATGCATTAATTATATCCTTAGCTATTCCTAGACACCCAATGCCATTTGCTGCAAAGAACATGTTCTATGACGAACGCTGGAAGGAAAAACAGGAGCAGGGCTTTACCTGGTGGCTCAATTATGTATTAACGCCTGACGACTTCAATGTGAAAACAAGCGTTTCTGAAGGTAAGCGTCCTCGAGTTACAAGTGCTGTGTTGTGCTCACTCATGTTTTACTAGCTCATTGTCCTAATTAAGGAGTATTCCGGAAAGTTATAATGAGGAACCAGGAAGCCGATTTGTGAGGCGTTTAAAAACATCCTAGTGTTTATTTTGCAGGAAGAAATGGGTGTGCACAGGGTAGAAAGAGTTGGAGGAATATCTTCTGGAGATGGAAACTCAACTTGAGTGTTGCCCTGGCATAGAAATTACAGGGGCAGTGTCAGGCTGAGAGGATAACCAATTAAGCTACTGTAGGCCTCCTTGTAAAGTGGTGGTTGCCTCACTGTGGTTGCACACAATATTGCTTCGCGTTTCTCAGACAGACATGTGGGATGTCTGCATTAAAGGAGTCTTTGAATTGTATTTCTGCCATTATGCTTCTTTTTCTTCAAAAAGAAGTATAGCCAAATTTTGAGTGCTTTTTTTCTTCCTTTTTTCCCTTAAAATAAAATGTGTTTTATAGAACCCCAGATACAGGAGGAGAGACAGCTGAATTGGCAAAGCGCTTGCTATGAAAACATGAGAACCTGGGTTCAGTTCCTGGGAGCCACACAAAAAGCAGCCAGGAACATTGCTGAGCCCTTGAAGACAGGCAGATCGCTGGGGCTCACTTGTGTGCTAACTTAGCCTAATTGGTCAGTTCCAGGCCAGCGGGAGACCGTCTCAAAAACAGTGATGAAGGCAGAGTGCACCTGAGGAGTGACACCCTGGATTCTCTTCTTGCCACCAACATCTGTACACACGTGCTCACACACATACATATAATAAGCACATGCATAAAATTCAAGTTAAATTATATTTCTTAGAAGCTTACCTTTTATTCCTAGAGATCTGAAAACAGAGAAACATGTTGGGAGGCCATCTGACTAGTCTTGAGTTAACAGCTAGTGTTTGATGTTCTGTGTGAGGTTAATGAGGAGAGGTTGCCATGGTGGCATCAAAGCCGCCTAGGGAACAGTGAGACCTGTCAGAGGGGAGCACTCAGAGGGGAGCATTCAGGATGCTTTTTAAGCGTCTCATGTGCATCCGGTTGCTGGGTTTAGCAAGGTGTAGAGATGATATGTAATCAGATGCACTGTCCTCTCGTTTTTATCCAGTGAACACTGCCACCCTTGTTCTGGGAATGGAAAACCAACATAAAATAAGTGTCCCAAAAGCCCCTACAAAAGATGAAGCGTCTCTCAGAGCTTACACAGCCAGCTGCAGGCTGAACAGACTACGTCGTACAGCTTGCTCCTTGTTTACATCTGAAAAAATGGTTAAAGCTATTAAAAAACTTGAAATTGAAATTGAACTCGGGCGGTTAATTGTTCGGAAAGATAGACACCTCTGGAAAGATATTGGTAAGATTATAGGACTCTCAGGAGTCGTTCTTTAAAAATACTGTGAAGATTTTGTGTTACTTTTTCGTGAGTTTTAGTCAAGGGTAATTGACAAAAATATATATATTTAAATGTGATGTAGTTACAGCTTGTGCAGTGAGTAATGGTACAGCTAAGTAACATCCACAGTTACCTTAGTGTGTATGGTTGTCTGTGTGTCTGTTGTGAGTATGAAGGGCATATAATATCAACTCAGTAATTTTCAGCTCTGCAGTATAGTTTTCCTGACCATGTCAACTACCATTCTTTGCTGTGGTTGCAATAATTTTAGATGACACAGGCAGGTGATATTGTATAGAATTTGTCTGTTTCCTTGGCTTATTTTACTTAATCTCCTTCACATCTTTAGAAAATGGCAAGATTTACCTTTCTTGAGGATAGATTAATATGCCTCTGTTGTGTATGTCTCTGTGTGTATCTGTGTCTGTCTGTCTGTCTGTGCTTCAGGGTGGCTTTGTCTGTACTTGGATGAAACAAGTACTTGTTTTATCTATTCATCTGTCATAGGCTCTGAGACTGGTTGCCCGTGTTGGCTGTCAGGAATGTTGGTGCAACAAATGTGTATTTACCTTATTCAGATGGCTTTTTTAGTTTCTTCCTGTACATCCATCTCCATGAGATACTGGTTTGTTTGCTGTGTAAAACTCACAAAAATAATTGTAATCATATGTTTAGGAAATATAACTCACTGTGTCTGTTTTCTACTGTAGATGTTTATTTATTAATTATAATTGATATTTATAGATATTCTGTGTAGAGATTTATTTACTGTCTTTTTTTAGTGATCCACACTTTTAACCTATGTTTCAGGACAACGCCAAAAAGTCCTGAATTGGCTCTTGTCATATAATCCTTTGTGGCTGCGAATTGGCCTGGAGGTAAGTTTTCAGGTTTGGAAACACCTCATTTAAAAAATTATATGCTTTCAGTAGAACACACTCTTTTATAAAATGGGGTCTTTGCTTAGGATAGTTAAGTCAGTTAATTGAATTGATTCATCATCCTCCATAAAATAAATATAAGACTAGTTAACAAATACTACTGGGTGAGTAAATCCTGCCCTTACAAGTTATTAGCATACTGTTTCAAAGTCATTTGCTTATGAATTCTATATGAAGTTTTTGACCTACTTTATTATCATTATCAACAATTATTATTTTTAGGTTTTTTTTGTTCTTTTTTTTTTTTTTTTTTTTTACTTCTTTATTGAAAGTGGATTCTCTTCCCATGCAGTATATCCCTGTTACAGTTTCTCCTCCCTTTACTCTTCCCATTTCCACCCTTCCTCTCCTCCCATCTAGATTTATTTACTTGCTGTCTCTCATTAGAAAAGAACAGGCTTCTTACAGGTAACAAATCATAACAATAATATAATATATTAAGATAAGACAAAAATAATCACATTGAAGTTGGACAAGGTGAACCAACAAAGGGAAAAGAGCCCAAGAACAGGCTAAAGAATCAGAGATCCATTGGTTCCCACACTGAGGAGTCTCATAAAAATACTAAAGTGAAAGCTATAGTATATGCACAGGACCTGATACAGACTCATGCAGGCCCTGTGCTTGCTGCTTCAGTCTCTTGAGTTCATGTGAGGTTTGCTCAGCTGATTTAGAGGACCTTGTTCTAGTGACAAAGCAGCAGAGTACAGAATGGTTACATTTGAGCAATGTGCCTATACCTTGAGAGAGAAAAATTGAAATGTAAAAGGGTTTTCTCAGAAGATGAGTAAGCTTATCTTTCTGCATTTTGGAATTTATTAGACACAGTAGACATGCTCACAGGTTACACACACAGTCAAAGGACATTACTTAGTAGCCATGTCACTTTTGTACTGCTTTTTGTTCCTTAGAAGACAGCAGTTTGCTTTCCTCCCATAGCTTCCTCCTCCTCTTTATGGTTGGTGTAACCCTGGCCTTGCTTTGCCTTCTTCTCTTTGCAGACAGTTTATGGAGAACTTATCCCTTTGGCAGACAACAGTGATGTCACAGGGCTGGCCATGTTCATTCTGAATCGCTTACTTTGGAATCCTGATATAGCAGCTGAATACAGACACCCCACTGTCCCCCTCCTGTTTCGAGATGGTGAGTATCTCTGCACACTGTGCGAGATGGCTTCTCGTCGTTCCTGTTACTTTAGATTTTACTAAATTCAATTTAAATAGGTCTCTGTTTTGATTAGCTTTGCTTTTTTTACCCTCAATTTCTCCCCCTCCATCGCTATTTATTCTTGTGATCCGCATGCATCCTCTCACCCCTGTAGGCTGTAAGTCCTGTGTGGACTCTATTTGTCTTAGTTTGCTGCTAACTATGCAGCACCTAGGATGATTCATTAAGTATCTGCTGAATGACACAAGCTAAATGTCATTGCTGTCACTGTGTTGTTTCTTCCATGGATTGGACATATTAAATGGTACACTCTAATTATTTGTTAATTATTATTTAACAAATAACAATTACTTGTTATTATTTGTTAGATATCCTTTTATTTTATAGAATATTTTAAGATAATTATTTGTTAGTTTCATACCTGTAAATTACTAAGAAAAAGTACATGGTGATTTAGGTGTACTTGCTACTAGACTTGCTAAATTATTATGATCATTGCCTTTCACAGATAAACTTACTTTTGTTTTGTTTTGTTCTGTTTGTACTTTAAGGTCACGAAGCAGCTTTGTCTAAGTTCACACTGAAAAAATTACTGTTGTTGGTCTGTTTCCTTGATCATGCTAAACTTTCCAGACTTATTGATCATGATCCTTGTCTGTTTTGTAAAGATGCTGAATTTAAGGTATCATTTCCATTTTCTATCTCATATTTTCCTTTCAGAACTTGTTCTTGCTTTGGTGGCATGTTTTCTATCATAAAACACCTCCATGTGAACATATTCTGAAGTGGAGTAGGAACGAGAGTTTATGTAGTGATTCCTTCTTTATTCCTTTTTCCTGTGCAGGACTCGATTTATCCATGAATATGTGTCTCATTTTTCTCTTTTTTGTTTTGTTTTGTTTTTCAAGACAGGGTTTCTCTCTGTAGCGCTAGCTATCCTGGAATCACTGTGTAAACCCAGGCTGGCCTTGAACTCACAAAGATCTGCCTGTCTCTGCCTCCCAAATGCTGGGATTAAAGGCATGAGCTACCATCTCCCGGCTTTCATTTTTGTCTTAAGTCATATCCTTTGACTTAAAATGCCTGGTTTTAGTTGAATGATAGTTTCCCATTCAGTTTTACTCTTAATTTTGACTTGAAAAAATGAACTAGGCTGTGCTGCTACAGAATTAATTTGAGAGGAAATTTTCTTTTTTATTTTAAGTCATATGTTATCAAATTAGCTTCTGTATTTAATTTGAACAATTTTACACAAGGTCTTAAATTAGAAATGTGAAACACATTTATAGCCAGATTCTTTATAATTCTGATATTATTTCTATAAGCACAGAATGGTTTTTATCAGAAATAAAGTGTATAATATTGAAACATTATACTTGCTTTCTGTTTGTAGGCTAGTAAAGAACTTCTTCTAGCCTTTTCACGAGATTTCCTAAGTGGTGAAGGCGACCTTTCTCGTCACCTTAGCTTATTGGGATTACCTGTGAGCCATGTTCAGACCCCTCTTGATGAATTTGATTTTGCTGTTACGAACCTTGCTGTGGACCTGCAATGTGGGGTGCGCCTTGTGTAAGTTTAAGTTAAAGATTTACTTGATGGGATAGGAGAGCAACAGAACCTATATATATATGGGCCCAGGGGTAGGACCATGCATGGAGATAGCCTAGAACCCCTGCACAGATGTAGTCCATGGCAGCAAAATTTCCAAGTGGGTACCCTAGTAAGGGGAACAGGCACTGTCTCTGGCATGAACTCAGTGGCTGGCTCTTTGATCACTTCCCCCTAAGGGGATACAGGATACAGAGGAGGACAATGTAGCCAATCCTGATGAGACCTGATAGGCTAGGGTCAGATGGATGGGGAAGAGGACCTCCCCTATCAGTGGACTAGGGAGGGAGGGCAGATTGGAAGGGGATGAGTGAGAGATCTACAGCTGGGATACAAAGTGAATAATTTGTAATAAATAAAAAATAATAATAATAAAACATCATTTTCTGTATTAATACTTAAATATTTTACAATACAATAAATTCAAATTTTTAAAAATGTTTAGTTTTCTCTTTGAGAAAAAGGATGTATCAGTCATGCCACACATCCTTATGTTCTCTGCTGCTATGGGAGTAGGGTCTATGAATGGGAACTCCTGTTGTCTCAGAAGAGGAGTCACAAAGAACATTAAACCGGTGTAACTTCTTGAGTACTTAATATTGCAATGGCTTCATAAACTCCTTATCTCTGCAGGCTGGTTTTAATAGTATTTGTCTATTATAAATTGGATTTCAAATTCTGATATATTTCTTTTAGGTAGGTAGTGATCTTCTATGGCTTGGAAACTGATAGAACATTTCAGCTTTCACCTTTCACCTTCTGTCATTACTTGCTAGTTATGTGACTGAGTTTACTAACTTCTCTAAGTCTTGGTTCCTTCTGTTAAAAAAAAAAAGCAGTTAATGCCTAATTATGGGATTTATTTGATGACTAAGAGAAACAAGTATTAGCTTGTTGTATACAAATGCCCAACATTTTCCTCCCAAACTTCTTCCTTCTTCATTATCTTCTGTTTTCCTGTTTGTTCTTATTTGTATGTGTCTTGTGTTTTTCTTTCTTATGTATTTGTAGAGCTCAAACCTCCAGACTTAAAATGAAAAATAATTCTGTTTGCTAATTTAAACAATGGAAACTTGAAAAGTTCCTGGGAGTCATTTTGTCTTTAATGTGTTTATAGTCTTGTGACTTTTATGGATAATAACTTTAATGAACTTTTTCTTGGACACTTTTATGTAGAAGTTTCATCAAAAATTTTCTTTCTGCTAGGCGAGCCATGGAACTTTTGACACAGAACTGGAGTTTATCCGAGAAACTTAGGATTCCTGCAATAAGTCGAGTTCAGAAGATGCACAATGTTGATATTGTTCTTCAGGTTCTCAAATCCCGAGGAGTTCAACTGACTGATGAACATGGTATAAACAGAATAGGAGTAAAACTACCATGCCGAACCTTGGCGTGAGCATGTATTGTGCTAACGGAATGCCTTTCACTTGTAGGAAACACTATCTTGTCTAAGGACATTGTGGACAGGCACAGAGAGAAAACACTGGGGCTGCTTTGGAAAATAGCATTTGCTTTTCAGGTACTTTATCTTTAGCCTACCTTTTTAAAAGTCAAATTTGAATGCTGTTTACTAAAATCATTTTCAATCAAAAAAAGACCAGCAATAGTCACTACCACTTTCTGATCTTTAATCTGTCCTAGGTCCTGTGATGATTGCTTCATGTTTTCTCATCTTCTTTTATGCTACCAAAAAGTAAATGTAGCTTCCTCCCTCAGAAAAGAACTTAAGCTAAAGTTTTCATCTAAGAAGAACCCAGGCTTAATGCAGACCCAAATTCTGTATTTTTAACCATTAAACATTTTTATCATTTATATGTCCCACTATTTGCCATTAAACAGTATAATTTTGTGCTAAATACACATTTTAGTTAGTTTTTGTTGGATTAAAAAAAAATCCTGTGTGTGTGTGTGTGTGTGTGTGTGTGTGTGTGTGTGTGTGTGTTTGTGGTGTATACATTTTTCTGTGTGTGAAGAGGCAAGAAGTCAATGGTGGGCTCTTTTCTTAGTTGCTGCCCACTTTATTTTTTGACACAAGATGATTTATTGAATTTACTGCTCACTGATTTGTCTAGACAGGCTGTCCGCAAGTCCCCAGAATCCTTTTGTTTCTGTTCACCTAGAATTGGGATCACAGATATGTGCTGCCATATCTGGTTTAGACATGGATGTGAAATCTGTGCTTAGGTCTTCTTAAGTGTGTAGTAGGCCCTTTATGTCCCCATGAAGACTCCTGCCCCTTTTGTTAACATTTCTGATTTTTTAAGTTTCTGTGGGCTAAAAATGAAATAGGAAAAACGTGAACATGTATTTAACTTTTTTTGTGCTTTTCAGGTGGATATTTCCCTTAATTTAGACCATTTAAAGGAAGAAATTGACTTTCTAAAACGCACGCACAGTATAAAGACAGCAATATCTGCACTGACATCCCATTCTCAAGCTGTTGCTAATAAGCAAAAAGACAAAAGGAACAGTGGGTCCTTTGAACACTATGGTAACAATGTGAAGCTATTGATGGATTGGGTAAATGCCGTTTGTGCCTTCTATAATATAAAGGTTAGTCTTTTTGTCTTTTTTTTTTTTTAAGGCCATTTTAAGCCTTAGCTAAAGTAGAAATGTATAATTTTTTTATTCCTTAAATATTTAGCATGTTTGCATACACACACATACTCTGCACATCCATTTTTAGCAGTTTCTCAACAGAATGATTATTATCTCATAGTCTGTATAACCTGTTATACAGCCTATAACCAGCTGAACAGTGCAATAATTTCTTTTATCACCAAGGAATATAAAAACCTTGAGAAAAGACAAATGTTGCGTGTCTTCTCTCCTATAATAACTGTAGATTTAAATATGTATATATGGCAATATATTCATAAATATATGCATGGATACAAAGACGTGTATTTGACACTAATCAGAAGGGGGCTGTGGAAAGGGGGTGATACAGTGATAGCAAGGGAGGAGGAATGACTGACTAGGCTTATAATGTGTGTCATTTTGTCCACAAAATTAAAGAGTAATTTTAATGGCAGATGCTACATAGAATTGGATATGGAAATTCTGACCTTACTTACAGTAATAACCAAAGAAACATCATGTAGAACAGAATAACAGGCCTTGATGGAGTCTTTATAATAATTTGATGATAACTTTCTATATGGTATGTTGTAGGTGACAATTAATATTTACTATTGGTTTATCTTTTATTAACGCTGCAGTTAATCCTAAACAGCTGTATAACCAAATCACCAAACAGAGACTATGATTTATTTAATTAACCTAGAACTCAATGCTGGGCAACAGTTACTCCATCCTAAATCTCCAAGCCCTCATAGTTTCCTAACATTTAGATTTCCCACATTATGTTTGCATTTATTGATATATCAGGTCCAGTCCATCTCTCCACGTCGTTGCAAGATCTCTCTGTTTCAGCTCTGCTCTCCCAGCTCTTGTCTGCCCCTCTCTCCTCCTCCTCTGCCTCCCACCTTCCTGTCCTCTGGCTCCTCCCTCTCTTCCTGCTTCCTTTCTATTGCTCAACATTGTGGCTAGTTGCTTTATTTTGGCATGTTTACACAAAGCTGAGACAGGTAATGCTTAGAATAAGTATCACAATGAAATGTCCAGAGGATTGAAACCATAGAGTAGGGGAAAGAAATCAGCATTTGAATGAACAAGGGTAAGGTGTATACATTTCAAAAGAACATTATACCAACAATGGTATGTACTTTTAAGTATAAATATTTTCCCACATACATATAACCCCCTTGATAAGGAATATTAAATAGATTAGTACAGATTGCATGTTACTAGGGATATGGTGAGTTGTTGCACCTCAAAGACATTGTTGCTGGAAACATTGTTAGCCGTATTGGTGGCCTACTATGTTTTAATCAGATCCTTCAGTCTCAAAGATGTGACAAATCATTACTTCTCGATTCAGTGAGTAGCTTGAAGCTTATTTCTGTTCCTGAGGTCAATGGTGGCAGCTTGTCTAGTGTTCACTACAAATGCTGAGGCTGAAGGGTGACATGCCTTCTTTCATCCACTCTTCCCATACCTTCCATGGTCTATATGTTTTTCATATTTTCTGCTTCTGTTTTCTTTTCTTTTTGTTGTCATTTAAAATCATCCTCAAATGTAGTACTGAACCACTGGTAGCGTTCCTAAGGGAAGCCTGTTGTGTTTCAGGTTAACTGCTTGTTAAAGAGGCTTCATTTTGCCATCTGTCCAAGTGCTGTTGGCCATGAGCATAATGTCACTTCATCCCTAAAACAAATAAACCATGCTCTTGGTTGATGAAAATGTTGAAAGTTAACTCATTAAGAGATGGGTGCGTGGTTTTTTTTTTGTTTTTTTTTTTTTAATTTGATATACATGAATGATGAGGATTGGCTATAATTCAGAGTTTTCCGAAGACTGCTGTATACATTACTGTGCACCTGGCTGTTTAACATACAGCTTTACGTTCTCAACAGTTGTAGAGGCCAGAAGTCTAGAAGGTGTTGGCCAGCCCATAGTCTCGTTAAAGGCCATTCTTCCCTGCCCTTCTTTTGTGTTCTGGTGCGGGGCAGCAATCCTGTTGGCTCTTTGGCTTGAAGCTGCATTAGTTCAGTGTTTGCCTTTGCCATCGCATAATATTCTGGGTTTCTAACCCTATCTCTCTGTTTTAAAAAGAAAGTCGTTCTGAGGTTCTGGGAAGGGTAGTCCTATTTTAGAGCTGCTAACCAGGCAAGGACAGTAATAGTGTTTTCAAGCCCTACCTCTGTATTTAGGAACTAAGAATTTCATTATAGCTATGGTGTTGATGCTGTCTGCATTAGCAGCTAGTATACGTTTAGCTTTTATGAGGAAAGAAAAGACTAAAACATGCTTATGTTAGTATCTGAGAGGAACTGATTGCTTCTCTGATGTTTGCACCCAGGTGGAAAATTTTACAGTGTCTTTCTCAGATGGCCGTGTGCTGTGCTATCTGATCCACCATTACCACCCATGCTATGTGCCTATCGATGCTATATGCCAGCGTACCACTCAGTCCGTGTCCTGTGCACAGACCGGTTCAGTGGTGTTGAACTCTTCATCCGAATCTGAAGGAAGCTGTCTGAATCTGTCTCTTGAAGCACTGGATCATGGTTAGTCCCTTTGGTTTAATTAAGTCTTCTGCTTCTTTGTCATGTCTGATTTTTGGCTACAGTCATCTCTTTGTCACTTGTATGTGTAATAGAAAACACTCCAGACGTATACAAAGAGCTTCTAGAAAATGAAAAGAAAAATTTTCACGTGGTGAGATCTGCAGCTAGAGATCTTGGAGGAATACCTGCTATGATTCACCATTCAGACATGTCAAATACAATTCCAGACGAAAAGGTCAGAGAATGATTTCTTCATAATCACTGTTTTGTTTTCTTTTATATTTTGGGACAGGGTTTGTCTGTGTAGTCCTGGCTGTCCTGGAATTTGCTCTGTAGACCAGGGTGGCTTTGAACTCAGAGGTCAGCCTGCCTCTGCCTCCAGCAGGCTAGAATTAAAAGGCATGCGCCACAACACCTGGCTACTATCGCTTTTTTTTTTTTTTTTTTCAGAAAATATTTATTGATTTTTTTTTTATTATTATTACTATTTATTCACTTTGTATCCCTGCTGCAGTCCCTCCCTCATCAAATCCCAATCCTACCCATCCTCCCTCTTTACCCCCTATACCCTTTCTCTAGTCCCCTGATAGGGGAGGTCCTCCTCCTCTTCTATCTGACCCTAGCCTATCAGGTCTCATCAGGACTGGCTGCATCATCTTCCTCTATGGCCTGGCAAGGCTGCACCTCCCAGGGGGAGGTGATCAAAGAGCCAGCCACTGAGTTCATGTCAGAGACAGCCCCTGTACCCCTTACTAGTGAGCCCACGTGGAATCTGAGCAGCCAATGGGCTTGCTTTGAACAGGTGGTTTATGTCCTCTCCGTGCATGGTCCTTGGTTGAAGTATTGGTCTTACTGCAGCTGAGAGGGTAATAGTAAGTCATGATTCCCTCCTGACTCTCTGCTTTCCTCTTTTTTGTTCTCCTTAGGTGGTTATTACCTACTTGTCATTTCTTTGTGCAAGGCTTCTGGATCTCCGTAAAGAAATAAGAGCTGCCCGACTTATCCAGGCAACATGGAGAAAATATAAACTAAAAAGAGACCTGAAACACCATCAGGTAATTGTGGAAAATGAGAACAGTATTTCACAGGATTCCAATGAATGTTCACAAATAGATGTAGTTGAGATAAAATTATTAATTACACGTAGTTTGGGGATGCAGAGATATCAATATAGTACACTGGTGTATCGTCCATCCTCTTTCTACCCGCCACACACCCTGCTCTAGGCCATAGATAACTTCTTGTGGACTTGTGAAGAATAAACTAGGAGTACTTGCCTCACCTCTCTCTTTTCCATTGCAGTCTACCCTGTCTGCAGAGATTGCTCTCTCAATGTCTCAGTCATGCTTTGAGTCGCTGTGCTCTAGCGCTGCTTGGGCTTGAGTGTTGGATCTTGCCATGATTCTGAGATCCAGTTATGTTGTCAGCCATGATGAGCCATCACAAAGGACTAATTTAAAAGAAACTTATACAGTTCTGGTTACATTTTATTAGTTAATCTGATCACTACTTCTTTGCTTCTGCTGGCTGTCTTCCCACTCCTACTGTGCTGATAGCATCCATATTTATCTTTCTGTTAGGAGCACTATATAGTATCCTCTAGGTCCTCACAGGCATTTCAGGAGCTGCTAGGCTGACAAGGATGATCCTGAGATGCCTCTTTCAGCTTTCAGATCTTTCTTTTATGCTATTGTTTTAATTAGTATAAACCTTCTATTGATAATAGTCTCTCATGCTCTGTGGAAACATTTACTGGGTCCTCTGAGATAAGTTCAGCCCTATCTATTAGTAGATACACTGTAAATTAAATTAAATCATAGAATATGGTCCATTTTAATGGCAGATGCTATGTAGAATGGAAATGGGTATGGAAATCCTGACCTTACTATATAATAATATTCAAAGAAATATCAAGTAGAAAGGAATAGCAGGCCTTGGTTGAGTCTTTATAATAATTTGTTAGGCTGATACTTTCTATATGACTGTTTTACAAAGAATAAAGTTTTAAAGTGATAATTCAATTTTTGTTTTCCTTTTTTTAAATTTCTCTCATTGAAGGAAAGAGATAAAGCTGCTAGAATTATTCAGTCAGTTGTTCTCAGTTTTCTAAGTAGACGAAGACTGCAAAAAAAAGTCAGGGCAGCTGAGGTCATTCAGAAATGGTGGAGAAGAGTCACTGCACAAAGGAAGTTGCTGATGCTGAAAAATGAAAAACTGGCCAAACTTCAAAGGAAATCAGCATTGCTTATTCAGGTATGATATCCTGGAATGATATTTAAGCCCACAATTTTTATGCCATTTTTTTAGCAAAGAAGGAAATATGCAATAGAATTTTGAGTGACCATATCTCAAGATTCTTTTTCTAATATTGTTGTCTATCAGTGTGTTAGGAGGGGATTGGTCCTGGAACCCTGTGCAGATACCCAGATCTGGAGGCATTTTCTTTTCTTTGTTGTTGTTGTTTTTCTTCTCCTCCTTCTTTTACTCCTCCTTTTCTTCTTCTTTTAACTACTTTATTTTTTATTCACTTTACATCCTGGTTGTAGCCCCATCGCACCTCGTCTCCCAGTCCCACCCTCTCTCCCTCCCTCCTGCTACCCTATTTCTGGAGGCATTTTCATATAACTTCTCTATATCCTCCCTTATACCTCAAATCCTCTAAAGCTTCTTCATAGGGCCTGGTACAGTGTAAGTTAGTATGGACTGTAGTCACATTGTATTGCTTAGGGAAAAAGACAAGGAAAGTGTTTACATGGTCAGTCCAGGCTTGCTCTGTTCCTCGGAAATTTTCCATCTGCCCTTAGTTTGAATTCAGGGACGTGAAACTCAGGATACAGGGGCTGACTGCCTAATTAACTAAGCACTTGAGCCCTCCTTGCTATCTGGGAATGCTCTCCTTTCATACAGTTAGAGCTTTATACCCCTTGCTGTCTTTGTTTTACATTACAGCTTAGTAATCTTTGACTCCTTGGGAAGTGTTGACATGCCAAGTTTTTCCACTCTCCTTTACTTTAAGTCATGGGAACTTCTTTTTCCTGAGAAAAGGGCACATTTTCCTTTCTAGCTCCTTTGCTTTGTCGCAGAAATCGTGCTTACCGCTGCCTAATATAATGCCTGTATTATTTTTCTTTTAAAAATAAAAAAGATTAAAAAAGTTCCATACATGGAAAACAATTAATTTTTATAATGAATTCTAACAGCATTTGTGAGGTGTTCTATTTAAGTTCGTTCTTCGTGTCAGTGAAGATGTACCCTATAAGTACATCTTTTAGAAAATAAAAATCACTCAGCTGCTAATGAGCTTAATAAATTGTCTCATTTTCAGTCCTTTTAAAAGTGAAATATTACACATGGGAAATGGCATGCAATAACATTACAGAGCCTGTGGTTTCTCAGAAAATGAATACCCATGTAATTGCTTCCTTTACTGAGAAATAGAATATGACTGGCCTCTTACAAGCTACTTCACAGTCAGTTCACTCTTCTACCGAGCCCCAGGTGACCATTGGCTCTTTTATACTAATCATCCCTTTTTCATAAATATCTCTTTAAAGCCATATAAATTAGTTGTGCCATTTTTCGAATTCAAATTTATATAAATTCTTTCATTTACTATCATTGCATCTGTGAGAATTATCAGTGCTTTGAGTAAGCTGTGGCTTAGTTTTCAGTTTGTTGATGGACCTTTGATAGTCCAGTTCTGAACTATTCTAATGTAAAGGCTATTTGAATGTGCCTCTTAGTGTGACCATGTCTTCATCCTGCTCAGTGCTTACTAGAAGTACAGCTTGAAAGGACCCATCTGCACAAGACACCTCAAGACCAAGTTCTCAGCACAAAAGGGATTTATTTGCCCTAGAGGGACAAAGAGCAAGGAGTAAGAAACAAAGACAGGAGGTGGAAGGAAACAAGGGAAAGAGGGAAGGGATATTTGTATTGGGGGCAGGATGGGGTTGGGGGGAAATTCGACAAAGGATTGCCTCTGGGTAGAGAGGAGACATAAGTGGCCTATAGACAAATGGCAGTTTGTAAAGGGAAAACCTTGTGTTAGGGTGAGGTGTTTAATTTTAATTGGGCATGTTAATTAGGTGGGCCAAGTGGGGGATTTTGATTGCTGGACTTCAATACTTCCATAGCTAGGATTTGGTAGTCAGCCTCAGGAGGCTGACTACCAAATAAGCCAAATAAGAGTAGACCTTAATGTCTAGCCTATGGAATGTAATCTAGCAGGTTTTTATCAAGACAGAGGGAATAGGGAAGAACAAGGCCTACCAGAACCACCATGCTGGCTAGAGTCCCTTCACAACTGTGGAGTTCCTTTTGAGGGTGTAGCGGTCCTGGTGTTGTATTTTATTTTTGGGAGATATTGCTAGAAACTTGCAAATGTGCAATGGAGAGTATCACAGCAAGTAATTTCAAACTAATGTAAATACTTGGAAAATTTCTTATTAACTTTGATATGTAGTAACATCCAGAGCAGTTTTAATTTGCATTTTATTGATAGTATGAGAAACATCATCCATTTTGGAAATTACTTTTTTTTTAACATGGAATTTCAGTGCTTACTGAAGATGAATACAAATTTCTTTATTAAATTTTATATTAGTTTAATTACTTTACATCCTGAGGGTGACCCCTCCCTCCCTCCCTTCCTTCCAGCTCCTCCCAATTCCCCTCCTTCTCTTTCTTCTCTCCCTTTCCCCACAGAAAAGGAGAGTACCCCTCCCTGCATTAACCTTCCTCAGCTGCTTTTGGCTGGAGCCTTCCAGAAGACAGTCTGGTTAGGAGTTTCAGCTAGAATCACACCCATATTCTCCAAGAAGCCTACCCTGTAGCAGGCCTCCAGCTTGACCAAGAAATGTCCTTCCCCGGTGTCTCTTCTTCTTCAAGCCCTCTCCTCCCACTTCTGTTCACCCCACATCTGATCCCTACCCTTGTATCCCTCCCCATTCCATTTCCTGCCCAGTTTCTCTCTTCATCCTCTTCTGCTGTCTATTGTGTTTTTCCTACTGAGTGATACTCTGGCACCCTCCCTTGGGCCCTTCTTGTTACTTAGCTTCTTTGGGTCTGTAGATTATAGTATGATTATCTGGTTACCTCACTTAAGATGATCTTTAAAGAACCTAAGAAATTAATCAATCCAATTAAAAAATGGGATACAGAGCTAAACCATGAATTCACAACAGAAGAATATTGAATGGCTGAGAAGCACTTAAAGAAATGCTCAATGTCCTTAGCTATCAGAGAAATGCAAATCAAAATGCCTTTAATATTCCATAGATCAAAAACTCAAGTGAAAACACATGCAGGAGAGGATGTGGAGAAAGGGAAACATGGAAATTACTTTTGTGTAGTGTTATTTCTACTGTCTTAATTTTTTAATCTGTCTTCTTGTAGACTCAGTAGAGGGCCTTTTATAGTCCAGCTGTTAGAACACTGCTGACAGGATGTACTCTATCTTCTTAACCATGAGCTTATTTCTCTCTGATGAAAGGCTGTTTATTTTCTTTTATAATTTACACATTTTATTTTGTTAACTATTTAAGGAATGTGGCCCTATCCATGAGTTCCTGTCCAGTGCTATACTTTTCCTCTTTTACATGGAGATGATGGCTGGAAGATCTGCTGAAATGGACATTGTTTTCCCTGTTGTCCAATTACCTTTGTAACGTTTGGGGTTGTTTGTTTGTTTGTTTTTTGCAGTCAGAATCAAGCTATTCTATGTATTGTTTTTTCTCTAGTATCTTTTCTGTTCCATTAATTCTTTTTGTCTGTCTAGCTTTGCTCTGTAACTTCACTTGAATTGTGAACAGCTAGTAGCTGGGTTTCAGTCTTTGTCAGTTACTTCCTTGCAGATATTTTACAGAGCAAATGTATTTTATTATTAAGTCTAAATTCTGAATAGAAATCATAGAGCATTTGGAATACTCAAAGAGGATATTAAGTACAACACATCTTTTTGATGTGTTCTTGAATTCTGTTTACAAGTATTTCATTGGGAATTTTTGTGTCTATCTTCATTGAGGAGATTGGCCTATAAATACATTGAAAGTATATGTTTTCATGTAGGTTTGTGTATCATGTGTGTGCCTGGTTTCCATGGATGACATAAGAGGACATTATTTCTTTTGAAATTGAGTTATGGACAGTTGTAGGCTATCATGTGGTTTCTTGGAACCCAAACCAGGTCCTATGCAATAGTAAAGCACATGCTCTTAACTCTTGAGCCCTCTCTCCATCCCTAAATTTGTTTGTAAAATATTGTTTTTATCTTGTTATTGACCTGGTTAAATTGTTTGTCTAATCTTTTTCAATATTTTTATTTTTATTAATTACAGTTTATTCACTTTGTATCCCCCCTGTACCTCCCTCCCTCCGCCCTTCCCAGTCCCATCCTCCCTCTTCCGCACCTGTGTCCCTCTCCCAGTCCACTGATAGGGGAGGTCTTCCTCTCCTTCCCTCTGATCCTAGTCTATCAGGTCTCATCAGGAGTGGCTGCATTGCCTTCTTTGTGGCCTGGCAAGGTTGTTTTCCTTTCAGGGGGAGGTGATCAAAGAGCAGGCCAATCATTTCCTGTCAGAGACAGTCCCTGTCCCTATTACTAAAGCCCACTTGAATACTGAACTGCCATAGGCTACCTCTGTGCAGGGGTTTCAGGCCATTTCCATGAGTGTGTATCTAATCTTTAAAATTTCATTGAGCTTAGATATTCATCTACTTTTTTCCAGTTATTGGAAAACCAGTCTCTTTGTATAATAATTATTTTCTTCTCTCACTACTTTCTTCTCCCATACCTCCCAAAGAAGCCCTCTTCTTTCCCTCCAAACTTACTTTCCTTAATTTGTTTGATGACCTATTGTTTTGTGACTTTTCCTAACAATGTCTACTCACCCCAAATAGTACACCAACAATAGACCAAAAGATTCCACCGTACTGTAAATTAAAGAACCATTGAGTTTATTGGAGTTTATAGACATATGGGTAAGAAGGAATATGGTTGACTCAAAGGTGCAGCATAAGCAAAATCTCAGCCTACCATGATGATTCATGAAACCTGAATTTCTGGAGCTCACTACACAACATAAAGGCAGCTCAACAAGATGAATCTCCTTGCCCTAGATATTATTGCCTCTGTAACCTCAGGGAGCAGCCTTGTGAATCCTGTAATTTTCAGGAGCTCCTGAGATTTGTGAGTTTTATTTACTTCCTGACTCTTAACCTCCCTTCAAGAAGGCATGTATTGGTTTAGAAGA